AAAAAAATCCTGTACCCGCCCTTGTAAAGTAAAGAATGCACAACTTCAACAGGGGCGGATCCAGAAATTTGTTCAGGGAGGGGTGCTGCGCACAAAGTTAACCCAGGGAGGGGTGCACCCCTTAGAATCAAAGCGGGGAAAAAACATTATTTTTTATTGGTTATCTTCGAAGTAGTAGTGTGTAACCGGTTGGCTCAGTTGGTTGAGCATCGGACTTWCGTGCGAGAGGTCGTGGTTCGAGTCCCGGCCGGACCAAYACTCAGGGTCTTAAAATAACTGAGGAGAAAGTGCTGCCTTTGTAATTACATCTGCAAATGGTTAGACTTTCAAGTGGCTCGGATGACCACTTTAAATGGCGGTCCCGTCTCTCCACACTCATCATTACTAACCAACATAGGAGGGACGTAAAAGAACCACTCAGGGCGTAAAGAAACCCTGCCAGTGACCACCCTCAGTGCCTAAACTTCATACTAACCATCTCTCATGCTTGTAAATTGCATAAAAAGCAATCTGTCATTTACTCCTCAATGTAAAGCGCCTTTGATCATATTCACATAGAAAAGGCGCTATATAAATTCATAAATCATCATCATCAAGTATAGGGGCACAAAGTCGAACCAGGAAGGGGTGAGCACCCCCTGCACCCCTCCCCTGGATCCGTCACTGTTCGACAATGCAAGCACCTTGAAATTCCACGACCTCTCATTGGAACCTGTAAATAGTCTATACAAAATCGAGGCTAACCCAGAGCAACAGAGAACACTACAGTTGCATAGCAAGGCACGTATACGGGACCCCGAGTATTTCGCACTCATACGAAACTCTTACTGCTCTAATAGAATTTAAATGTCCTTTTTAAATTGCCAATAACCACCAATGGGTGCTGTCGTTATCTTTGCGTATTTGCATGGCGTATTGATAAATAAATACATGTTGTCATATTGTACATCGGCCAATCTAGGGACTTTGTTTTATATGTTTTATAATTAACACGGCTAAGGATAAGTGACTATTTACGTGCAGATACATTTTTGCAAGATTCGGCTATAAGTACGTCATAATATCATTTACACCGAAATTGCAGTCGACAATATTCATACACTTCCGTCGTGCTTTTTTTTGAGAAACCTCTCTCCCATTCCCACTTACTTGCTTTTTTTTGAGAAACCTCTCTCCCATTCCCACTTACTAAGTCTCCAATCAAGTTTATAAATATCCACCAAACCAGTATTGAATCGTGCTGTCGTCATTCGCGCTTCCWCGRGTCGYTGGGTTAAATGAATTTGCATGGCACGTTGTGCCAAAAYTGTTTTCRCTGTTWACTGATCCAYTGGTRGCATYATACTGGCAGGGGCTAACAGAACTGTCGGTGYGAAATAATGAAAAACTACGTCTACCGATTTTCTGCCAGAATGGCACTGTGATATCTTTTCCCTTGATGCCTCRGATGTCAATGTAYTCTACAGTCTTACAGACTYCAGYMCCAGTRAAACTCAAGATGTCTACACTTGAARTCTTGGCTCTCAAGTAGTCTCGATAATCGACACCATRAACAGGAAAACTTGACGTCACTCTGACATGTGTTGATTGGTCTGAAATGGATTTCATCCGATYAAAAGATAGACGATAGTTTTCCCAGTTTGGRTTATTRAYCTGCCTTGCTTTGTCTGTGGTAAAAGAAGCCGTACAGAATTCCTCGTCGTGTCTGTTCTTGTGGGCATACGAGAGGATAAGAGTCCATGCAGAWCCAGGCTCTGAGCTGAGATCAMACCAGACTTTATATGTAACCCCACTCCTGTKTGTGAYGTCRTAGATGCCGTTCTGAGTCAGTCCMCTCCGAAGGTAATCAAGACAAGACTTGGCATCCTAGAGWAGAAAAYGACGGATGCCTTAATCGATKTACTTAGTGCTTCTGCCACATTTGTACCTTAGTTCTCATACTTTTCATATAGTTTTCATACTTAACAACTTGACTAAAATATAAGCCCTCGATGGATTTGAGGGTTCTCTTTCATATACTACTTGAGACAAGAATCTATTGTATATTGTTAAACGTCGGGATAACAGAAAAACTGAACCCTTTGCAATTAAAACTAAATGGTTCTTCGCTAGTGATTAGGTCATTGCTAGAAATCCGCTATAGTCAGCGGTCTGACGTAAACACGCGGGCTCAAGCTTTACGCATGCGTAGACAGGAATTCAAAATGTATTTTTTGTGATGACAATTTTGTGCCATTCTTTGAGAATTGGATATTTCACCAGCAAAGAGTGGTTTTCTTTGCATAACTTAGTTCAGGCTCAGCGAGTTTTCTGTATRTTTGAGTAATGATGCATTTACTTCGACATTTTGTTTATAAATTTTCGAAAAATGCCGCGAAATCTTCTACCGCAGGGATTCTTTTCTATTAAAGGGGAGGCTACTAAGCTCAAAACAGTCTTCTAATGGCGGAAAAGAAAGCTAGCGTAGAATTCTACAAAGTTATCGCTATTTCTTACTCTGCACGATGGACTTGGACCTTTAGATTTTAGAATCCACTAGATAATATTATTATAGTTTTTACAAGGCGAAAGGAACCAATCCAAACAGCGTTAAACCAGCGTCTTCCCTTGGGAAAGAAATCGGACGTACTTAATATGTGATCTTGAGGATAAGACTTGTGGACATCAAAATTCTGAAAGATAGCACAGTCTTATGAACGGACGTTAGCACTCCGAAGTGGCAGCGAAGTAGGAGAATATAACTATGGCAGGCGATGACKTTATTGTTGTCTATTTTCATTTGAATTTGGAACCGGTATCTAACTGAATGACTGCATATATTCTMTCGTTTTATTATTGTCAAAGCACATATCTAAGATTTAGAACTTGTGGATTGAGTGGAACATTAATCAGAAGAACATAAGAAAGGGAATCAACTAATGAGTACAATTTCTTGTATTTCAGTGTTCATCCTACACTGAAATTAAAGTCGATTAAATAGAAAATGCGCATGCGTCGCGCCATGTTGTAGCGGATTTCTAGCAATGTGAAATTCCAATGGATTTGGCGTTAACGTTTGTACCACGGCGACGCGTGCGTATTCGTCTTTCACATCTCCCTAAATTTGGATCCTCAAAAAACTCTACTCGACCAGATTCATCAAACTCAGTGCATTCTACGATTCATAGTGTTATCATAATTACCTCTGTTTGTGCATCGTAGTAGTGGATGTACRGAGAATCGTCCKGATAAGATCCTGGGTTGGATTTTCTGGTAGCGTTGTTSAGCTCACAGACATCCTTGTCACCAGCCCCTTTTGGTTTGTAGTTGTACGACAAGCACTGGGCATTGCTTGTACATAGAAAGCTGCAATCAAATGGMGATACCACGTGATGGCTTGATATCACATGACCAGTTAGCACTTTACCTAAACATTTTAAAAGGGAAAGAAAGGAGAAAAAAAAAAGAAAAGCAATGTGGTGAGAGTCTCATATTTCAGTTCCTGCGCTCTAAAAAAAAAATGCGAGTGCATGGCCTTAGGTAGAGTTTTTAGCGCGAGGAGCTCTGATCGACGATAAAGTATTCGCATACTTGCATGCTCARGGGCTGTTGTACATTATGCCGACAAATTTCGATTCAAAGCTGGCTGGTTTTACCAAATAATGCAAAAAGTTCACATATTCTTCACTCTACTTCGAACAAGAAGAGCCTTTCAGTCTTATCTTATTAAGAAGAAATMTTTTTCAATAACGAGCAATAATGGCAAAAAATCGCCAAAAACTAGACTTTCGTATGAGTTTTGATCCCARTTTTCGTTTTGGGTTAACACTCAAAACCTTTTTTAAACAGTTAGAAACTGATGTACTATGATWAAATACCTGTTTGAAGCGGTATTTCAGTTGTACAAAGATGTTTTGTTGTATTTGTGTTAAAATGTTGCTTTGTCAGGCTTTTTTTATAGAAAATATATGGGAAATAAGCAAATGAAGGCCTAAGCCTCATTTCCGAATAAAACTTTTGCTTTGGGTTAACACTTTGATTCCACTTTCATCTGTCGTCTCCACTTCAAAACAAGTTAAACTTTCTGAATAACACGATTTTAGCCTTGTACAACAGCCTTTCTTCAAGAAAATAGTTTCTGGCGCTCACTGCTTGAATACGAAAAGAATTCTCTCTTAATATTTAAAGTAGATGAAACCAATGCACGGTTTGAAGTATTTTATGAACCTTTCAAAAGTTAAACAATGAATTTAAAACTAAAGTAAACATTTAMCAAAATGTGCTTAAAAAGTTGAAATGTTTAAGAGCTCTTTTCTTAAAAATAACAAAATCTTTTGAAATCCAAGGAAAGAAAATATCACCGCATTTAGCAAAGTCAAACTTCATTGATAAGCATTCTTGAAGCCTAAGGTGTTAACTCGAGATCCTTACCTTTCTCAGGGCGAAATTCGGCTAATCTGCGGCTTTGTTCCCTGATGGTGGCCAAGGCAAAAGAGTTAAGAARGAAAGAAGAGATGGAGAAAAGGAACATCGCCTTTATTTCTGGCATCTTGATGACGTTTTATGAAGAGATGAAGTAAGACATTTCACTTCTTGCCTTTCATGAAAGCAATCTTTCTTTATTGCTGAATTTGGCTTCTTGGCAACTGCATAATATAATGAATAAATCATTCGCTCCATTGGTGTGTATCTGGGGTAGACCGCCCAGATATTATATTCTTCGATTGCACGTTACGTCATCGCGGCCATGTTGGTGCCATTTAACAAAAGATTTCTCATTAGCATACATTGTTAACGGCACCACAATGGCCGCCATGCTTTTGTCTTTTGACTCTCTCGGGAATGCTTGCAATCCATCAATTCTTCGTTATCATGCTCGTTTGGCATCAAAAGAAAGACGTTTCTTGTGGCATTATTTTACACAGCTGGTTGGTATTATGTCTCGCCACTTGAGTGTGAACCGGTCACAAAACGCATRAATCGTACTATCAATTAATAACGAAGTACGAATGGTTCTTTGTGGAGCCAGGTTTACTCCCATACTCATACATAGAGTTAGTCTCCCCCACAGCTTCTTTCAGTGTCCTCACGCAACGCTTTCTCCCCTGAGTAGCGGCTGCTTACCCGAGCACAACATTCCTTTCCTATTGTTTGTGTTCAACCAATTAGATAAGTGTCATTGTGTTTCAAGAACCAATCAAAACGTTTCAATTTGACAACTTGTAAACATTCGCGAGAAATAATTCTAAGACGCACTGAGTGGAAGTTGGAGAAAATCTTTGGGAAATAAAAATTGAATTCGTTCTTGTTAAATGTTTAATCCCCCCCTAAAATATATTGGAGACGGAGCTAAGTGTTTTCTTTGTTCATAAATGAAAGAAAATATTTATATTTTTATAAGTTTAGCTATCGACATTGTTTAATCGGCCAATAGCGAATTCGAGTTTGTACTTGCTATCGAGCTCGTACCAAAATATTAGAAGCAAAAAGAAGCTGGAAAACTTTTTTTAAAAAGCGTAATTTAGACTCATGGAAGTTAAACGAGACGACTCAAGATTTAAGAGATTGAATTCGAATATAAAGTCTGACAGTATTTTTAATAAACGAAGAAGATACGCCGCGCAGATCACTTATTTTAAACAACGAATGCAGTGTAAAGCTAAAGAAAATCGCAAAAAGGCTAGATAACTTTTAAATCTGACACTGTCACACCGTTGACTTCCACGGGTATTCATTGYAAACTTCTGAACGCTCACGGTGTCACAGTTCTGGTATATATGTATATCAGCAACCTTCAAACAAATGGTGCATCATCGCAATCGCAGACCGGACCAACACTCTGAGTCTTGTAATTACATCTACAAAGGGTTAGACCATTTAAATGACGGTCTTGTTTCTCCACAATTCATCATTACTATCCAATATCGGAGGGATGTAAAATAACCACTGAGGACGTAAAGAAACTCCTGGCAGTCACCACCCTCAGTGCCTACAACTTTTAATATCCATCTATATGTTTGTACTAAAATTGCATATACAAGCAATCTGCATTCACAGCTCAATGTAAAGCACTTTTGATCATATCTACATAGAAATGGGGTTATGCAAATCACAAAATCCATTTGTATAGATAAACAGTCATGTACATATATAGATTCAAAATGACAGGAAATGCATAACTTGATTTATTTATTTAATCCCTTACTCTGTCTAAACGAAAGCTCCATTTGAATTTGTTGTTATATAAAGTGGGCTTCCCCAGAAGAGTGATTGTTTTTGCTTTCACTTTGTATGTTTTGTACTTTTCTGGCACCGACGTAACTAGCATAAACCCGTACTCCCAGTTTCTTTTGCAATATTCTCCGATGGACAATTCTAAATAA